GATTTCAGCAAGATCTTCATTGACAGCATTGACCCGTCTGCGCCGTGAGTTCTTAGTTTCCTGGGAAGAAATGGGAATTCTGGAAGAGAACGCGGTATGGAGGGTACTATCATCTGCAAAGCTGTGGATGGGGCAAGTTGTTACTCCCAACAGATCATTGATATGAAGAAGGAATAATGTTGGTGCCAAAATTGATCCTTGTGGAACGCCGGTATTGATGCCCATGGTATCAGACGATACACCGTCCACCACCACGTGAATCGATCTGCCTGAAAGAAAACTCGATAAGAGATGGCATAGCTGAGGTGGTAAGCCGTATGATGGTATAGTTTGTGGAGGAGTCCTTCGTGCCAAACACGGTCGAATGCTTTCGATATGTCCAACGCGACAGCTAGAGATTCCCCGTGTTTTTCTAATGGAGCTTGCCATAAATGGGTGACGTAGGCGAGTAGATCTCCAGTAGATCTTCGGTGACGAAAGCCGTATTGTCTATCATTGATGATTCCTGAGCTCTCCAGATATTTGATAAGCTCAATATTGATGGCTTTCTCCATCACTATGAAGATTACTGATGACAGGGCAATGGGCTATTTCCGAAGGCAAGTACTTTTCGTCCGCAGACACTAACTTTTCGTCTGCAAACACTTTTCGTCCGCTGCAGGGTGTTCAGTTCTACTGAATTTTCAGTAGATCTCGCGATTTTTGCATATTGATCTACTGAAAAATATTATGACACTAATTTATTATTATAATAGCCTATATAATTATTAATCTTCAGTTAATCACATAAACTTATGAATCGCATGATATTTGTGCACGCTCTGTTTGAATTAATTTTACAAAATAAGTGATAAAGGTATACAAAAAAGTACTACTGATGTGTATAAACCAAAAAAGAATAATACTTTATGTGATTCAGATTGAATTCAATTTTTTATATACCTCTGTTGTAACAGTTTGTTTCTTACGATTGATTTTGTTATTTGTTTTGTATTTTTGTTGTTCATTTTTACTATATTCGTTTACGTAAACAAAATACAAAACTGTAGCAAAAAAACTGACTTTATTCTCTTCAAAAATCCAAAAGCATAATATAACAAAATATTTTTGCAAACAAACTGGAACTATTGATTGAAAAAAATAAATGAATGCATGTATGCAACTTATAACTTATTCAGAATCGTCAATAGAGCTACTTTAAAGTTCGCAATTTTCTAAAGAATTGCAGCAATTTTCATTGCGTATCTGAGCATCATAGTGTCATTTTGGACAGCAATTTTTTTTCACATAATTGCCAGGCATCAGAATTCTCATTGAAATGTCAAGTTTACTTTGACAAAAAATCTCTTCGATATTTCATGCATTATTTGTACATCATTAGATGCATATTGAAAATTACTGTCCCCATGGTTTCTTTTATCACAATAAGAGATAAAATATATTTTTGACCAAAGGACATTACAAATCAGTCATTCCGATTCAGTGTTGAATAGCCTACATATTATTATTGCAGGAAATTTATGATCTGCAGCATTCAATTTGAATGCAATGGAAAATTGAAAACTATAAAACGGCTCTTATATAGAAAAGTTAGTTTTCCACATGTGGACTCTCAGATGTTGATGATGGTCAGGTTGCCATAATGCCATTGGATTTTTTAAGTTAAAAGTGAAGGTGATAATACGATTTGTTCCCATTCGAGAAAGTTTTAATTATTAATTCATGAATTTGAAATGGTCATTTAAATTAATCCACAAATTTTTTATGAATTAATTGGTGCCAAACCTGATTGAAACATCATACAGCGATGACAATAGCACAATTCAATAGTTTTCTTCCATTATGATCAGCATCCTCAAGGTGAGCGATTATTTTTCTCGAATGAAATGGTGATTGATGTTCCACCACCCAAAATATTAAAATGTTCCTTCACCAAAATTTACAATGCTTTTTTATATCCAGAAACACGTCAGTGTCTTGCACCAAGTATTCGTATGAATTGTTACATCCAGAAGACCGGTGATTTTGACCCATTTCAAAACGTCGAATGAAATTGAAACTTCGCACCTTCAACAAAGACCAGTTTTGTTCCATTATCCTGATAAGGATCTTCAGGATGAGCGATTTTCACATGCAGAGATACGACAGTGTCTGCATCAAGTATACTTTTATGAAAATAGTTACACCAGAGAAACATACTAAAAAACGCGCTTTTGTAGTTAATTAGTAATTAATGAAGTAATAAAAGTGTGTTGATACATACAGTGAGGACGTAAAAAGTCCTCCCCCCCCCCTTATCTTTTGAACGGAACAAGCTATCGAGGTCGGGTAAAATTCGTACTACTTTTACTACTTTTTGGTATAAAAATGATTGTGGTCACATGGCCTAGTGTCTAGACGGTACCATCAACTTTTTTTTAAATGTAAAGGGGTCTCGTGGCTCCTAGTTTTGAAGGCCTTCCGATTCTCTATCCAACACCGCTGTGTTTGTGAAAATCGACCAAGCCGTTTCAAACTGACAAGTGTTTGAAATTTGCTTCAAAAATTTTACAAATAAATTAAAAACCTAAATAACTTTTAATTGCAACAAAATTTTAATCAACAATTTCAACTATTTTAACAAGTGCTCGAAATGTTCACCAGAAAAAAAGTCGGTTTTGGAATTCATTCCGAACTTTATTAAATGTTTCCGGGGTAATACTGTAACACGTATTTGCTTGCTCTTCTAATTGACCCGCTGTTTCTATTCACCCCATTTTTCATGGTATATTTCTTATTTTTTCATATTTTGAGCTATCCACAAATTTAATTATTCAATAAATTTGTTTCCATTCACCTCTCAGATGGTTCACAAGCGAATAACTTGCTAAAACAATCACTGTTTCTATTAACCCTGCCTGATGAAGGGGTAAAAGAAAATCACCGCATTTGAATTTTTTGAAAATAAAACTGGAATTTTTCAAAACTCTATTACATGCATTCTCTCCTAATGATCTTGTCGCACATTTTCCATATTTTTAATCATCAAAAAAGTAAATATCAACTCAGCAACACAATCTGAATAGTCGAAAACTGTTTCTATTGACCCCATTCTACGGCACCTCCTCTGTCTATTCTCCCTAGGTACGCACGATGTTCCACGAACATTATAGAAATTTCCTTTCGTGCGCTCCAAGAGAAGAAAAAAAGATCAGGAGTCAGCCTGGACTTCCAGCTAGCAGTTCCACAAATTTTGCGATCTAATTTTGAACGGTTTGCGAGATACATATATCGAGAACTGTGACACAAATAAGGTTGTCTTAATAATTCAGTGAATAGAGGAGGTTTACCTTACAAACGGTCCGGTAGTTCTGAATTTTTGATATGTTATCTAGGATGGTTATGGAGTGTTTGAAATGCAAAATGCACAATTCCCTCTCCTCCGCGCCCACTGCCATATTGAAAAAACCGAAAAAAATAGGAACTTTCTCCAGATTTTCGCTTATATTATCGTTATGGTGCATTTTATCTACAAACGAGTCCCATTAAGTATGGTAGATGATTGAATTTCCTATAATTCACGTTTCGAATTTTGATCCTAGGACTGATAGTTACGGAGATATGCACCTTTTAAAAAAATTTAAAAAATCGCATTTTCCGGAAATTTGTCAAACTTCTCACTTTAGAACGCTGTAGTTCACTTATGGCCTATTCTAGGGAAACAAGAATCGGAAGAAGATTTGAAGAAATGCATGTACAATTTTCTTCACCCACCCTACGTAATGGGGCGTGAAAATGGAATTTAAACAACGGCATATTGTTTGTGGAAATGTGCGGAGTCAGTGGTCGGAGGTTGTTTAGCCAGATTGAGTTTGAGGGTACATCTTTTCAATCTGCTATAGCGAAGGGAGCTCAACGATTGTTCTTTACTGCCACCATATAGGGTTACCATTCTAATCTAGGGTTACCAAGATTCTCTTCCCTGCTACTGAAATTTCTTGGGGACTGGCAGCAGGGTCCTCGAACCTCTCCGCTTGATGGGTCTCTCCTAAAAAGTTGGCAGAATTTATTCTTTCCGAACCCAGAAATGTTAGATGTGGTGTCGCAGCCCGATATTGCGTGCAGGAGCAAGATACAGCCTTTGGAGTTGTACTTGTAGGAGGAGGCGGAGTAGATTGCGTCTGGATGTTTCCCTCTCGCTGGTTTTTCGAGGTAGACATTGTTCACCGCAGGTGTTGTGCCAGTCAGTGGGACGAGTAGGTCAATGTCTTCTCCGACAATGATGACGGCGTCGTACGTGGGGGACAGACATTTAGCTGTGGCAACTATCAACCTGTCAGCATCTTCGGAAGCTTGGTCTGTGACTGTATTTGACGCTTGCATTTCATTGCAGAGCAGCTTCACAAATCGGTCCTTGTTCCCCTCATTGGCCAGGAATTTATCCTGAGGTACGGTGTTGACAGTGGTTTTGTCAAACACCACGTTTGATGATGAGTTTGCCTTGTACCTTCTTGCTCGTTCAGCAATCTTGGTCCCTTGCTGAGAAGGATCTGTAGTGTAGCCATCAAAAATCACCATCACATTGGTGCCATAGTGTCGCTGAACGTACTTGACAAAATTCCGGAACATGCGTTTTTTTAATTTTATAAAAAAAATCATACCTCCGTAACTATCAGTTCTAGGAGCAAAATCTTAAACGAGAATTTTGGGAAATTTAATCCTCTAAAACATTGAATGAAGCTCATTTGTAGCTTGAATGCATCAAAACGAATATATACGCGAAAATCTGGAGGAAGTGCCGATTTCTTTGGGTTTTTTCAATATGGCGGAGGGCGCGGAGGGGGGGAAATTGTGCATTTTGCATTTTGAACACTCAATAACCATCCTAGATAACATATCAAAAATTCAGAACTACCGTTTGTAAGGTGAACCCATCTAAATAATTGTTAATACGGTTTCCATCAAAGTTTGTTGTATTCGGAATCAGTTTTACGTAGCAGTGTATTTTCCAGTTCGACAAAATGAGTAACAGGTGAGGTTATGTTGTTTTATCAGGTTTGTCTGAAATTTTATTAGGAGTAAAGCCATCAGAATATGACTATTATACACTAAGGAATACTTACGATTCAATAGAAAGTTTGTCTGTGGTCTGTACTTTACGCTACACTGAAAAAAAAAAAACGTATGATATATCATACGGTAGGCAAATGAATGTATTTTTGTTGCAGAAAGAAATTTTATGATCCATCAGATAATGCTCTCACAGCCAAGAACATTTATTGTATTGGTACTCTGCGATCAGATAGAATTGAAAAAGCTCCACTAACTGATCTGAAAAAACAGAAACGAGGTACATCGCATGTGTTGAGGGAAACGAAAACTAATTTAGTTCTGATCAGATGGCATGACAATAGTCAAGGTACCATCGGGACTAATTATTATGTGGAAAATGGTGCATATGCTTCACCGAAGGATTCTGCAAAAAATGGCCAAAAGAAGAAGAGAAACGTGTAGATGTCGATCAACCCAACATAATACACCTATATAATCAAGGCATGGCAGGTGTCGACATCCTAAAATCAGCCTCATTCAGTTCATACGAAGGATTGTGCTTCCTCTGCTGAGTTCTCCAATGTATTCAGCTGAACCTAAGCCCAAGGCAACAGGCTACACAAAGACGATTTGGTCGTTGTAAGAAATGTACCAAATTTTCCTGTGTCAAGTGTAATATTGGATTACATCCAGACAGCTGTTTCCGCTTATATCATACACCATCAAAATAATTGGCCCACTTTGAAACACTAATTGATATTTTAATAATTTGAATCAATGAAACTTTTATTTCAGGCATTTATTCATTATTTCATATTTTACCATCATACCTCATAATGCTAACCCCATATGCCTACCGTATAATATATCACTCCAAACAAAAAATATTAATGTTAAACATGTTCACATAGTTAATCTATATGCCAATTGGAACTCTTCCTGGAGAAATAACCAGAATCGACAAAAAAAAATTACTCATTCACTAATGGGTAAGTCTAAACTCAGAATGGGCGAGTGGACTGATAATGAATTATTGACATTCGATTACTCCACTGTGTCGTTAGGAATCTAAATTAATTTTTGCATCACTTCTCACGCTTTTTTATGCAAATAATGAATCTATGCGTTGTTCGAGATTTTTGATTATCAGAGCTCATTTCAAACGAACCTAATGGCCGCCATTTGGCGATATGTCGAATAAATGGTTATAGTTCATTCTTGACTTTTTCGAGCAACCAGCATGTCCAAATATTTTTTATTCTCCATAACAACATATCATGAGAACTGACAAGACCACGCCCATGTGTCGTGCGCCTTATTGGTTGTCACGTTCACCTATTCAAATGTCCTCTAGTGTGAATTATTATTATTATTTACACAAAATTAATAAAAGCAATGAGCCACAAATCATAAGGGAACATTTTGAGACAATTGAATTTTCATTGCTAATTAGGAGTACTATTTACCACTCAATTCAGAATTTATGAATTATCGAATAGGTAACTATTATTTCTGAAGTTCCCAATCGTATTTCAACACATTGCAACTATGCACCTACTTACGAAATCGTGGCGTCAATTTCTAGGCGTTTGAAAATTACCGTGGCATTATTGATGATTTAAGCACCTAAAAATCGACCAAAAAATTCTCAAAAATTATGAAATTCAAAGGTATTCGAGTGATGAGTCTATGAGTCTATCTAAGAAGAAAAATTGTTCACTCGCCTATTGGAAGGCCAATCAAACCGTGTGAAGAGAAATGTATTAATTTTAATTTGAAATATGGAAGCTAGTGCTTTAGTTTTCAATCAAACTGCAATAAAATGTGTGATCTATACGTAAATCACCCTCTATGACGATTGCTCACTGTGTCCGTATAGCTTTCGGAAGGTCGGCATCGATGTAAAGTGCCTCTTCATTTTAATCATTTTTAATTTAGAGGATGATTTATTTTGGTGAACAGGTGACTGATCGCATAGCACGCTATGAGCTATCAATTGAAAATTACCAAAAACGATAATGACCGTTATCATACGTTGAATTAATAAGATAATCTTCACCATCATCAAATAGATCATTATATCATTTACACGATGACCGGATTGTAGGTAAACATCAGCGGACTGACATTATTCAATCTTCACTTTCTCTGTGAGTCTGTGACCCCAACTTAATTAATATTCTTAAGAATTAAGCGCAGTAAATCCACAGAACTCAAAGACCTAAAAGCTCGCCTAAAAGGCTAATGCTATAGTGTGATAAATCACAAGCGTCTAGCTAGACCAGCGAATCTTCAAACATCGAGGTCATTTGAGGTCAACCACAACACATGATATTTCTTCCTTATTTATATTGAGAAACTAGGAAATACTACTAGTAAAGCGATAGCTCAGTGGTCTGTGTATCTGACTTCCGATGTACCCTAACAACACGAGTACATCCTAGGGACTTCCCAGGTACGTCCCTAATTCTATACTAGGACATCCAAAAGATGTCCTTCTGGTACGTCCCTGGGATGTACCGAGTACAAAGAAAGGATATCCCTAGGACATCCCAAGGATATCCCAGAGACATCCCTTCGACAAAAGAAAAAAAATGTAGGTCGAGTAGGGATTGAACTCGGGACCTTAAGCTTATCACTTTAAATCAACTTTGTCATCATAGTTTTAACATCACTTCGCAAATTACAAACACATATAGATATAAAAGAACATAAAACAGAACTTCTTCTGTGTGCTGTGTCCTCCGCGTGGTGCAGAGGTGGCTGATGTTGGCCAAGGAATGTGAGTGTATATGCGAGGTGTTAGTCACAGAGGCCTATCTCCTAGGGACGAGCCCTTTATATAGGTAGTCTCATCGAGGTCACCCAAGGGGGTGGGGGAGTTGATCAATCGCTCTCAGTGGTGAATAGGTTCTTCTTTGTGATAGAGGAGAATCAAAATTGGAAAAACGAAAACCTCCTTCTGATTTGTCTCGCCCAGACCTACCCACACTCCGCACCCGACTCTGGCTGTGAGGCCAGTCATCAGGCCCAGGAGCGTCTGCATGTCTGACCGAATTCAGTGTCAGTTTGTCACTCCTTGAGTGGCATTGACACTATTTTATTTGCGTTTTTTTGGGGGGAGATTGTGCAGTCCGGGCCCTCCTCAGAGCCCTGTAGATGTTGTTGGGCTGTGGGGGGGGTCCCGACTATAGATTATCTGGCTCCTCAAAAACATCGGTTGATGCATAGGTATATCAGCCCATGTTTTTTGCGGGTGTTGTGATGCCTTTTCGTTGTGGTCATATTCCGGGTAATGACACTTCCAGCGATGTGGTATTTGTAGAATTTATTGTAAATTTTCCGGATATAGTCACTGACTCTAGGCAAATTACCACATCTCTCGTGGAGATCTGCCACTCGTGAGTATCTATCACCGCTGGTGATAATACGGAGTACTTTGTTCTGCAGCACCTGCAACCTATTCATATGAGTAGGTGGGATGGTGCAGAACACCGGACACGCATATGTCATTACAGGCCTGATGATTTGCTTGTATACCAGGACCTTGTTCTTCAACGAGAGAGGGGAGGTTCTGGATATCGAGGGGTACATTTTCTTGATGGCATTTTGTGTCTTTTGGATCAGGTAGTTAGTGTTTTTCCAGAATGACATACGGGTGTCCAACTTGACTCCCAGGTATTTCACGGGGGTGATGTCCCTCACCTCAACCCCTTTGACGGTCAAAGGTCTGCTCAACGTAAAGTTATTAACTTTTCGGTGGAAATTGATAACTTCCGTTTTCGCACCGTTGATGCGGATCTTTGACTCGTCAAATACGGGCGTTAAAAATGGGATGCATTATGCATTTACGAATTCTGTCTGCGAAAAATGGTCATTTCTTGAGAAGTTTTGAGACTATATCCTTTATTTTCATTACAATTAATACATTTTCGAAAAAATTCGACTCAATATTTTGATGAAATTTAATGATGTGAATGGATATCAGATATTCCAGGGACACGAATGGGATAACCTATAGGGATGTACCAGGCGGGATGTCCACTGGACAACCACTGCGGGACATCCCCTGGATGTCACAATCCTGTCCTTGTACCGCGGGACAAAAAATTGACGTACCTAGGACATCCCTGTGTTGTTATAGGGTAGTGACTGGGGCTCAATGCCTGGGAGGCGCCATTTTTTTTACTCAATTAATTTTTCAAAAATGTACTTTTTAGGAAAAGGTTAATTTAGGACAAGCTATAGGTTGAAAGTACTTTTTTTTCATGCAGAAGAGATTTTCCTTCCTCATATCAACCATATCAAATGAAAAATCAAGGTCCGTATTTGAAACATAAAAATTTATGATGGTTTCTGGAAGACGAAACGTCGGATTTCAAATTCGAAAACGCCAGCTTGTAGAGAAAAAAAGATGGCCATGATAAGGGTATCATTTCATTTCGATTAATTGGTTCAAGTAACTTGAGAAAAAATAAGAAAGGTTTAAGGAAATTTCGTTTTTTTTCCTATATCTCCGAAAGTATTCGGAATTTTCCAAGTTTCAGAACGGTTGTTGTAGACATAATGCATAAAAGCGAGCAGGTTTGTCATCATTTAACCGACACTGTATCTCTAACGGTTTACGAGATCCCAACGCAGATAAAAAGGATCTCATCAATCAAACGAATCATTTTTTTTAAATAAAATTGATTCATACAAGAATGTTTCATTCGAATGGAGCAATTTACACTTGTCTCAAAACAATCGGGTTGCTTGCTTCGTTTCTTGTAAGTTCTTGATATGAATTTGCTCAATAAAAACAGTATATTTCTTCATTCAAGAAAATCGTGACTACCAGTGACATAAATTCCAATTTATATTGGCTCAAGAAACTCTCTGCTTGTCTAAAAGGCTTGCAGTGACGTATATACAACGGTGGGAGACAACTGAACGACTGCGCCCATTCGACTAGTCAGTCGTCAGCTGTCATTTGCCATTGCCGCTGTGGTTTATTTTGCTTAACACATTTGTTTTTTAACGGTGAAGTGTTCAAAAATCATTTGCGCTGAGTCATGTATATGATAATGGTGTGGTATCATCTTCACAGCAATGCAGCATACCACATTTGAGGACAATCTGCGAGCGTGAGTTAAATATACGTATATAGGTATATTAATATCGAACGGGAACGAACTCTGAATTTTGTATATTTTTGTAAGCTGTAGGAAGAAACTTCACTTCCAGCTCGTTTCCTCCTCTAAACAAGGAAGATGAAACATTAGCCACAACTGCCAAGGAGAAAGCCAACATTTTTGCTCATTTATTTTCTGGAAATTCCACTCTGGATTCATCGGGAAAACAACCTCCAAACATAACGCCAATAATTGACAGTCATATGCTCGAGATCACCTCCCGCCAACGTACTATAAGGAAGATTTTATTTGCTGTCAACACCAACAAAGCTTGTGGCTCCGACGGAA